ATTTATAGTAGCGCCTTTATTTTTAGTCATCGCCATCTCCTTCAGCACAGAGTTCAAAGCCTAACCATGTCTTCCCACGTTTGCGCCCCTCCCACACCCAGCCTGCTACCTCTCTGATCCCCTGGTCTCCTGTGTTTTCTCCACACTCAGTCCTGTCCACCTAGGGAGTCCTATGTGCAAATGTTTGTTTTTTTCTCTTCAAGGTCCTTCCATCCCTCTACTTGGACCATTTTCCTATAGAGAATCCCATGGCTCACTTCCTCTCTTCCTTCCAGGCTTTAGCTATATCACAGCTTAACTGAGAGGTCTTCCCACACCTCCTATTCTGTTTATCTCTTATTCGCTCACTTAGCTATCACTACATTCTAAATGTTTAATGTCCCCTGGTATGTGACTGTAAACTCTATGACATAAAGGGTTGTGTCTGTTCTGATAAATGACCATAGTGCTCCTACCACCTAGAACACAACTGAACACATAGGAGACACTCAGGAAATAATATGCTGAATGTAAATATACTAACATTATTGTTTAAGGTATGATTTATCAAAATCTCCAATTGATGCCTTCTATAGTGGATTCTAATTTGAGAATCTGTGACTTTTAAAAGGAAATTTGAAAAGTCTTATCTACTATTTTATTTAATATGCCGTTTTATGGATATCCTGCCCCAGGCTCATTTATTCATCTAATGTAGACTACCTAAGCCCATCTTTAGGGGAAAAAACTCCTGCTCTTGAACATTCTCTTTAATTGTGTGTTTACTCTTCATGGTAATAATCAGAGACTAATAAACATGGTTCCTTGGAATCGTTTCCATTTCTTTTGTACTTTCTTCTGTTACAAAATAATGGAGAAGTATAAAATGATAATAAATTTACCTTTGAACATTAATATTCTGTGTCTTTTAGCCTGGGGCTACTTCAAGTAAAGGTTATTTCACTCTTAAGTTTGGGTTTCCACTTGAAAATTTTTTACTTGAGATTCTGTCCTTTCATACAGAGACCTCAGTTTTATGCCATTCCCTATTAAGGCCCTTGCTCAGATGGGAGCAGGGTGGAAATCTGCTCTTTAAGGGCTCCTTCTCAAACTGAAGCCCCCATTTTGGGGTCTTTGCCTGCTGAAACAATGGGAGGTACTCAAGGTTTCCTATTTTCAGAAAGAAATATGACCATCTGAGAAAAGATCTATAAAATACATTAATCATATTCTAATTTTGTATACTCACTTATCACATTTCATTAAACAATTTCATGAGAAAATACAGGGTATATTGTCAGATTGATACATAGGCCATTGTTTGGCATTTGGGAGGTTGTAAGGTTAGGTTTACTTTACCTTTATAGGTTCCTCTGTTTCTTAAACCTTTTTCAAAATAAGAATTGAAGTATAACATATATACAGGAAAGTATATTTGAGTGTAGACCTTGAAAAATGTTCTCAGAGCAAATGCTCCTATGTAACAAGCACCAGGTCAAAATACGCAATATTTTCGACACCTGAGAAGACTCACTTGTGCATTTTACTGCTTCACTCCTTCCAAAATGTAACCACTCTTCTGACTTTTAAACCCATGGAACAATTTTGCCTGTTTTTTGAAATTTAATTAAAAGAAATCACAGTAGGTATACTTTTGTGTCTCATTTCTTTTGCTCAAACCTCTTTCAGGAGATTGATCCATCCCATGTATTGTATATAGCAATCATTTATTTTCATTGCTTTATAATATGCTATCATGTGAATATACTACAGTCATTTCCAGTTTAGGCTACTACAAATTAAGCTGCTTGAACATTTTCTCTCTCTCTCTCTCTGTCTCTCTCTCCACATACACATATACACACACACAACACACACACATACACGCACAGAAATGGTAGTTATATGCCTCAGAACAAAACTGTCGGGTTGTAAGAATTATGCAGTTTTGCATTTAGTATATAATACCAAACTATTTTCAATGGTTGTCTGAATTACATTTCCATCAATTAGGAGTTCAGGTTATTCTAAATCCTCACCCTCAGCATTATTAGCCCTTCTAATTTCAGCCATTTTTATGAATTTGTATTAGTATCTCATTGTATTTTTAACTTGAATTTCCCTAATTACTGCTAAGGTTGAACACTATTTTATATTATTCTTCAATTTTTGAACAGCCTCTTTTGTGAAGTTCCTGTTCAAATTTTCTGCGCATTTTTTCTATTGGATTTTTTGCTCATCTGCAAAACCTAAAATTTTTAAAAATAAATAAATTATAGAGGAAAATCATAGGAGAAATCTGGAATGCTCAATAGTATAAAGGTATTAATTCTTCCCAAACTGATCTATAAATTTAACTCACTGTTGATCACATTCCAAACAGGATTTATTTGGGAATTTATTTTTTTTTGTTTTTTTTTTTTGTTGTTGTTGTCTTTGTTTTGTTTTGTTTTTAAAGATTTTATTTATTTATTTGAGAGAGAGAATGAGAGAGAGAGAGCACGAGAGGGGGGAGTCAGAGGGAGAAGCAGACTCCCTGCTAAGCAGGGAGCCCGATGTGGGACTCGATCCCAGGACTCCAGGATCATGACCTGAGCCGAAGGCAGTCACTTAACCAACTGAGCCACCCAGGCTCCCTGTTTTGTTTTGTTTTTTTAAAGATTTTATTTATTTATTTGACAGAGAGAGACACAGCCAGAGAGGGAACACAAGCAAGGGGAGTGGGAGAGGGAGAAGCAGACTTCCCGCTGCGCGGGGAGCCCGATGCGGGGCTCGATCCCAGGACCCTGAGATCATGACCTGAGCCGAAGGCAGACGCTTAACGACTGAGCCACCCAGGCGCCCCTTTATTTGGGAATTTAAAAGATGATGGTAAAATAAAGAGAGAAATACAATGGGTCAGTATAACCAGGAAAACACTGAACAAGAAAAAAGTGGGGAACCTAGCTCACGAGATACCAGGATGTATTATAAAACTGCAGTAATCCACAGGGCATGGTATTTGTGCATGTATAAACAAAGAGAAAATGGAAGTGAATTGAAGTCCAAAAAGAGAACATTTGGATGGAGAAATTTTTATGACATACCTAGTATTAGAGAGCAATGAGTAAGTAACATTCTTTTTAATAAATGGTGTTGTGACAATTAGATTCCAAATGAAAGAAAAGAACCTGAATCTTAACTCATTCCTCATGTCAAACTCAATAATCAATTCCTGGTGAAATATAGATCCAAATTCAAATGGTAGAACAAAGAAGTCTATATAGATGACAACAAAATATAATATCCTAATGGTTTTGGGCAGGCAAATGTTTCTTAAAAAGGACACAAAATTATAAAAGTGAACATTTATAAAAATGAACTGCACCAGAATGAAGAATTTTGCTTTATCATTGAGTAAAACATAATCCAGAGGCAGAAAACACCTTTGCAATGCATAAAACGAAGGATTCATATCCAGAACATACGAACAACTCATAATTTTGATGAAGTTCATTTTCCTCTTTTTGAATCATGCCTTTGGTTTCACATCTAAGAAATATTTGGTTATCTCAAAGTCACAGGGATTTTCTTTTATGGTTTCTCTCTTTTATTGCCAGAATTTCTTTCAGTCTTATATTGAAAACTGTGAAATTAATAATTATAACATATACAGGAAACCCAAAAATTCATAATCAATAACCGGTATGTGAAAAAAACCCTCTTATCAAACAAAATCTATGGCCACATTAATCTACTGTTTTAGAGGAGATCCAACAACCTATTGCTTAACATGGTATTTTCTTGGTGGGAAGAGATCAACTACATCAAATCGACTGAAACCAATAATTCTTTGAATTCTCTGCTGTCTTCCTGGCTTTCATATTTTGTAATGGAATATGGGGAACTGAAAAAGATTTTTCTTCATGTAAATTCTAATATCTCTAAACAATATTCTTAACTTATGTGATATTGATCTTTCAAAAGGATCTATCAGACTAATATTGAGGCAAACATTTTATAGACAGACTGTCTTATTCTGTGTGCAATTTGAAATTCTGCCTGAAAATTTGAAAATATAGAGTTAATCACTTCAGAAATAATAAAAATGTATAGTTTCTATAAAGCAATTTTCATAGATTAAATATGACAATAGTGCTAAATTCATAAAATCAACCAAATGCTGCACAGCCTTCACTATCATTTCCCATGTGATGCCTTCTCTGTACCAGATGAGCTGAACAACATTTGGGGGAGGCCACTTCATGACTCATCTATCACTGATGATGGTTATCGTAAGAGTATGCAAGCAATTTATTTGAATTTATCCTTGAAAGAGAGATGTAATGTAATTAGGAAGGTACTAAGTGCCTGGTAAATGTATTGGTCGGTTAGAAAGATTGTAGGAAGTTGGTGAGAAAGGTGAGCTTGCTGCCTCTAATACAATGGCAGAAGGGAGAAATCTCAAAGTCACTCTAAGGAGACCAGAATTCCTTTCATCTACATACTTATTTAGGTATAATTGTTGACTTTCTAATACCATATATATATTTTCATCTCGTTCAACTAAATCAAACCTAGCAATAGGAAACAAATTTGCAGTTCTGTGAGTTGAAATAGCGACTGTTCTGCGTAACTTTCATACTTGGATGTGGTGTCTAATAAATGTGGCCTTAATTCAAACAAACTTTATCATCATCATGTCTGAACACACTTGATACATAAAAAAAATAAGATTCAGCCAACTAAAAGCCATTTGTTGTACAGATCCCTTCTCTGGGAAACTGAGGGTCACCACAGGACTTAATCTGTCTCCCAAATGTAACTGCATCAAGTAAAATCTGCAAACAACACAGAGTGCCCTATCAGGTCTGACTCATGCCCTTCCCTGCCCTCTGTGACTGCATACATTTGCTTCCTGAATCATGTGATTAGCCACCAGCAGATCCACATGAACCAGAACACATACTCTTAAAAATCACTACTTTGATTTACAAGAGAACTTGAGAAGCTTTCCCTGCTTTGGGGGCCAAAGCCCTCGCTCAAACATTAGGCATGCTGTCTCGTGGTATCCAGACTCTGTCCAGGTCTCCACTTACATTATTTTTCTGCAGGACACGCAGTGCCTTGTTGACATTGTTCAGGGCGTGAACTCTTGTGGATCCTTTTTCTTTTGGCTGAAAGCAAATTGAAACAATGTTTACTGCCCGGCAGAGAGACAATCTACTAGAAATGAAACCATTTATACATTTTACTTCAAAGTTCGACTATTTTAAATGAACTTAGGCTGTGAGGCATTAATATAATACACTTAAGTGCTTTGGGTTAATTGTCCTCCTCATAGAACCTTAGCATGAATCAACCCCTCCTCAAGAAAAACGATAGCATTTTCTTTTCCTCAATAAAAGCTATTTTGGTTACCATCTCTTCATTCCACAGCCCCGTTGGGGATTACTGCATGACCAGGAAAGAGAAACAACAGTGCATAAGGACTTCTTAGTAAGGGAGATAAGTGAGGTAATTTCCACACATTTAAGGAAAGTATGAAAGAGACTTGAGCCTAGAAAAATGATATAACGCCAAATAGGAGTAAGGGAAAACTTTTCTGTCAACATTACCTTAACTGCCTTCATCACTGAAGCTCAAAACCTCAAGAATCTTTGGTTTTCTAACCCTCACTCTCAATCCTCAAAATCTTATCTCATCCTACAATTTCTAAACTGACATTTGTACAGTGCATGACAATATGCAGATTAACTCATTTATCCAGTTGTGGAGTTTTAGAAACTCTACCATTATGATGCCTGCCATATTGACTTCTAAAAAGAGATCTACATCTCAAGAAATTTTTAAGGGCACAATAAAGTACAGATGGCCCCTGACATGATAGTTTGATTTAGGATTTTTTGACTTTATAATGGTGCAAAAGTGATATGCATTCAGCAAAAACTATACTTCACATTTTGAATTTGGATCTTTCCCAGGCTAACAATATCCAGTATTATACTCTGATAATGCTGGGCAGGGGCAGTGAGCCATAGCTACAAGTCAGCCATGCGATCATGAGGGTAAATGACCGATACACTTAACAACCATTCTGTTTTTCACTTTCAGTATACTATTCAATACATTATATGAGATAGTCAACACTTTGTTATAACATAGGCTTCGTGTGAGATGATTTTGCCCAACTGTAGGCTAATGTAAGCATTCTGAGCATGTTTAAGGCAGGCTAGGCGAAACTATGAAGTTCAGTAGATTACGTGTATTGAACGCATTTTCAATATGTGTTGGATTTATAGGGACATAACCCTATTGTAAGTCAAGGAAGATCTGTATTACTAACTATAGAAACAATGTTGTACAGCAGATCTCTGGAACTTATTCATTGTGCATAACTGAAACTTTATACCTGTTGACCGGCACTCCCCATTTTCCATATCTCAAGTTAAGTGTTCTTGTCACAATAAAAAATGAAATTAAAAGATCATGATGACTAAAAGCCTTATAAAACATTCAATAACAAAGATACCAAACATTACAAACAAATAATATCTATTAATTAGCATAAATTAGGTGACTGAAAAATTTCACCTTCTAGTTGATAGAATATGCCAAAATAAAAATAAGATTACAAGATTGTTTTATTCAGGAATAAGTCCTGTATTGCTAGTTAAATCAGTAATTATTAAATTAGTGAATTTTACTAGATCTAGAACAACTATACAGAGTTAGTTTCTGGTTTCTTAGTAAATTATCCTAAGGTTAATGTGAACTTTCTTATAAATAAGTCACGTACCAGTTTTTGCCCTGTCAGGCCTTCCAGAAGGTCTAGGAGGCGCCTCCCATCCTGTAGGTCACTGAAGAGGTTCTCTATGTGCTGCTTCCCAAACTGAAATACGAAATATACCCAATCAAACAAAGCACTCTTCCAGTGATCCGTTTCCATGACTATGCCTTTTAAAATTTAAAGTTATGTTTAAGAATATTTAATGTATCTAATTCTTCATCTGCCAAGGATGAAGGATGAAAAGAGAACCTCCAAGTAAAAAACAAAAAACAACATATCATCATTAGGTCAAATCTATTTAAATTTTTTTTAATAACATGAGTTAGATATCTGTAGCCTAATTGGTCTAATTAACTCAACTTTTTGAATGCTGATTCTATGAAGGGGAGAGAAGTACACATACAAAGAAACAAAGTCCACATACAATTTGTCCTGGGTAGGTGCTTACAATTTAACTGTTTCATGTACTTGGCTCTATAACATAATCATAGAAGGCCCACCATCCTGTACCCCTAGAGCATGCTTTCTCTGAATATACAATTTGAATACTGCCTCAAAATGATCCATTTTCATATTGCATGCCTCAGATGTTAGAAAGATCTGAATTTAATTGAGTTGAAATACACCTGTGACATATTTGTGTCTATTTTTCTCAGTTCTTTACTTGGGAATTGTACTGAGAAAGAATAATAACCACTCATAGCATCTCGTATTTTGGTAGCAGCTACTCATGAGAAACACTTCACTAAATGAGTGGATCTTATAATCTTTCTCATATAGCTGTGGGTTAGTATTCATATACTCATCTTACAGATGAGAAAAAGAGGTTGAACATGTGGCTCTTTGTCACGAAACTAGAAGATGGTAAAGCCCAGATGTTGTCCCAGAACTGTCTAACACTTGGTGGGGGGGGGGGGCTGGTTTTTCCTAGCTTATCATGCTGCTTCCAGGGCTTTTTCCTCCTTCCATCTGATTATCTTTCAGATATTTCATTTCTTCTGTCATGCTCCCAAATATTTTCTTTTTCTGGTTGAAAGCCTACAATCCCTTCATATAAAATCATTCACAACTCTTTCATCACCCAGGTTCTCTGGAAAGTCCTCATTTATCAGTGACAGATGTTTATTGAGCACCTATAAACCTGAGCTAGGTGCTGGAGCATACACTAGTAAATCACACAGACATGCCCCCAGCCCTTGTGGGTCTTTGAGTCCATCATGGAAAGCAAATATTCCCAAAAGGCAATACTACACAGAAGCATTAACAGGGACCCAGGAGCATATAACTTTGGGAACTCCCATAGTATGGGGACCAGGAAAGACTCCCCAGAATGTCAGATGATGGGACTGACATTAGTTTTCAGGTGCTTGGATTGGTCTCATGCATTCCCTGATTACATGAAAACTTTGCATTTCAGCCAGGTCAAGAAAAATAAAGAAGAGCCTTGGTTACCAGGCAAAGGGCATCCCTGAAGCTTTCAAGATTAAAGACAGGATTCAGGCTCTCCCTACAACCACACAGCCATGTCCATAACAAGTCCTGTCAATGCCTAGGTGTTTCACCCAATGAAACCCAGACCCCTGCAAAAAGGCCACCAGTCCTTGGAAAATCAAGCCACATATATGTTTTGACAAAGATAACTACAAGTTATTCTTCTGAAATTCTACTCTAATAGTTCTGCTTTAAAGTTCCAGGGGAAAAGAAGACAACACAAAATGTGAATATGTAAAAACACTTTACTACACATTATGTACAAGTAAACCTCAAAACAACATGCCATTTTTTTATGAAACTTTAAGGAAAGCTTTCTACTAATAAGAAAATGAACGCATGCTTTATAATTCTCTCAAGAACCTCATATATAACATGGAATCACTTGGCATTTGGAGGGTTGATATTAAGGTTTTACTTTCAAAGTGGATGAAGCTCTACAATGCCTTGAAAATGCTGTTCTCTTTTGTTTTGTTTTGTTTCATCCAGGAGCAAAATTTTACAGATGCATTTGAGAAGCAAGTGGCTTCTTAACTTATTGACAAAAAGAATATTACACACTGAAATATGTCAAGTTTTGAAGAAAATATAGTTAGCTGACAGAGATACTTGTTCTTGTTAAAAATATATATCTGGATGGATAGATACATACACACATACTTACATACATACATAACAAAGTCTGTCAAACCAGGAAGGATGTGGGTAGCAAAATGTTCATTCAAGAAGAGGAGGGGTAGAGAAAGAAATGAGTATTGGGGCACAGAGTGAAGCATGAACCTCAAGGCCGTAGGGATCATCTAGCATCCAAGACACAAGGACTATAAAGCTTATGCTTTGGGGCAAGAAGTCTAGACAACGGTCAACAAGGCAAACAGGATCTTGCTTTGATCCAAACTCATATACACAGGCCAACGTATTTTATAATTCTTTCTTTTAAAATAGAATCAAACAAAACAGAGAGAGAGTGAAGGACTGTAGGCTAATCAGAGGCCTCCAGGCACATCTAGTTGGGACACTTAGAAAGCAATAAGGGAACAGAGAAAAAGTTCCTGCTATCATACATGACTGTCATAACTCATAAAATCAAACCCAATTTCTATTTGTTATATTCACATTCTCTAATAGTGTGCTTCTCAGAATGTTCCATCAAAGCATCCTTCTAGCAGATGAGATTGAATGAATTTACCACAGGTCTGGCAGTATAAATTAGGCAGTGACAGCCGTTCAAAACGTCTATGAACACGTAGGTTTTATTTTTTTTAATTTTTTTAAATTAACACAGAGTGTATTGTCAGTTTCAGAGGGAGAGTTCAGTGATTCGTCAGTCTTATATAACACCCAGTGCTCATTACACCATGATCCCTCCTTAATGCCCATCACGCAGTTACTCCATCCCCCTACCCTCTCCCCCTCCTGCAACCCACAGTTTACGCATATGTTTTATGTTACGAATTCATGGAAATGTTACCTTCATCTCTTAATGAATGTTTGTTTTAAAAGCATTTTCAAGCACTTATGAGTGAAATTTCCCCTCCTAGGTCCAATTAAAGTCATGCTCAATGAAATGTACAATATTTAGCCTATAACTTCACAGATCTTCAGGTGCTGTCTTATTCTTCCTATGGTATGGAGACCCCAGAGAAAGCAAAACATCTCATTTCTCTTGGATGGTTTTCATTTCTTTCCTAGATTCAAATCCTCATTCCATAACATTATAGCTGTGATATAACAAAAGTAGCACACCTTTGAGAGGCAGAAATAGCTGACTTTTATTTTATTTTACTGGCTATTATTTAAATTTAAATTAAATTAACATAGTATATATATATACAAATATATATATACATATATATATACAAATATATATATACATATATATATATTTGTATTTGTATATATATATTATTTGTTTCAGGGGTACAGGTCTGTGATTCATCAGTCTTATATAATACTCAGGGCTCATTACAACACATACCCTGACTTTTAAACTGGAGTCTTTTATTCACTAGCTGCACTGTGTCAGGCAGGTGACCTAACCTTTCTGAGGCACAATGTACTCTAGTAAAACGGGGATTGAAATAATACCACTTCAGAGTACTCCTCTGAGGTTTAAATGAAACAGTGTAGGTGTGCTGACAGACTTGGCAAATAGTAGGCTCTCAATAAATATAGGATTTTTTTTATTCTATTACTCTTTGACTTCTCTTTCTCTGGCCAAATTCTAGATATAAATGCAATTATGTTACATTATTGAATCTACTAGAAAGTGCAGAGCTCACACACAGTGTGTTCTGTTTTTTCTTAGTTTGGTATCCCTATAAGAGCGAAAGTCAAAGGGGGAAGATGTCATTCCATATTCAATTACTTACATACTGGTAAACGTGGATGGCAGTCAGAGGTTTCAAGCCCTTTCCCTTTTTTCTTATTCTTTGGGTTACGTTCCATTAAGTCCTTTTTTGTTTATGCCACTTTTCATCTTCTACACGTACCATGCCTTTTTGTTGCAAGTGACATTTATGTCATGAAAACAGTAATATTTTTTTTAATTCCTTACCTTTAATGGCTTTCTTTTCAAGTATATGAAAATTATTTTATGAAACACACACAACATTAAGCCCTTTTTGGGCCACATGACCCTGTGGCTCTCCATCTCCAGTCCCTTTCATGACTAACACTTTCTTTAAAAAGTGAACTTTTGATATAACTCAGCAGTTTACTGCCTTCACTTACATATAGTCTTCTTCCTTGCTAACTTAAATAACAAGATGAAAGGACCATAAAATGAAATAATGATGCTTCCTGATCATTGTCCATATGATATAAAGAAATACAGAACTACAGACAAGGTTCAAAAGAAAAAAAAATCAGGTAGGTTGATTGGTAAGTGGGGGAAACAAAGTGAAAAAAGTTCAAAGTGAGAATAAATTGAAAGGGACAGAAATACATTTGTGAAAATATTTAAATAACTTCTGACTCTTCAGAGTTGTATCAGTCTCTTAACCTGAAAATACACAGGGATCAATACAATATTCCAATAAGGGGTAAAGAGCACAGGAATTATTTTGCATGACCTTCTGGTTATAGAAAGGTCAGCCTCTGGACAATTCTGTTGCTCAGAAAGTCAAGACACTTCTCTGATTACAAATCTTTAGATACTAGAAACACCAAGAAGCACTGGAAACACCAAAAATAATTCAAAACGTATTGGTGGATGCTGCTGACCAGCTCCCAGAAAATTATTGCAACACTTTATGGTATAAATCGGCAGTTTTCATAGATGACTGTTTTATTAAGTATGGATTATAAAAAGTATTTTATAAGAGAATTTTATCGAGGTATAATATACATACAGGAAAGTACACATATCTTAAGAGTTAGCTCAAATAGTTTTTTACAAACTGAACACATTCATATTATCACCACCTAGATGGAGATATAAAATATGACCAGCATCCTAGGAGCTTCCTCACACCCCTTCTGTGTATTAGCCCCTTCAATAATGATCACTATATTAACTTTTAGGACCAGAGATTAATTTTGCATTGAAAGGAGTCTCTTAAAAACAGAAAAATAATGTTGATTTAGTGTTTCATTTTAAGAAACTATTG